ATTTTAGTAAAATATTATTAAAATGTTATATTTAATATTCTGAGAATATGCCTAAAATATTATTTAATATTAAATAATATTATGCGCTTATAGAGGGATTTTTCCTTTCTCACAGCATTATTTATTAAAGAATCTAGTTATTTTTGTCCACGAGTAACGAATTAACGATTATACAATATAAAATTATTAAATTATATACTCGAGTTATCTCATCCTCTCGCATTGTGTCTGATGAGGGTTGATTTAAAAAAAATCAAATTAAAAATTAATAGTTACCGATAAAATGTAATTTAAATTAAATTAAAAAGTTAAGAGTTTAAAATGTAACTAAGTTAAGTTAAAATTAATTAACTTTTTAACTTAACTTTTATCTTTTTAACTTAGCACTATCGAATCCTGTTTATTAGTTTCCTGGATGTTTCGTATAGACATGTCATATAATATATTTAAAATTCAATAATACTCGATTTTTATTAAAAGCTGCGATTTTAATGTTATTATCCGAGTTTGATTATCAATAGAAAATGATAACTGTAGAAAAAAAATTGTAATTTTGCGGCAGTATATACATATATGACATTATAGCATATTATAAGTATGCATATTTATTTATAAAGCATTTATATAATAAAAATACGAATTTTGTTAATATATTATTTAAATATTAATTGATAATCAAACTCGGACGATCATATCATTAAAATCACATTTTTAAATAAAAATCAAGTATTATTGAGTTTTAAACGTATATGCACGTCTATAAAATTAATAAATCATAAAATTAATATTATATTATTAGTTTCTTACTCAATCACTTAAATTTTAATAGTCACGCGAACTTCAAGTATCTCGCCAGTGGTTTCAGAAATCGAGAAACTCGAATGATCGTCGTTTCGTTCGCTCGCTCGACTTTCTATCGAAGATCGGAGTTATGACTAACGAAACATAACCTATGTCCCGTGTTGATTGTCATCCATTGTCATCATGACAAATGTAAATAAAGAAACGATACTTAGATGATCTGTCATAATACAATTTTGCGCTTCTCATCAACGTTATGCCGTAAATTGTAAATTGTGTCTAAAATGTTCACAAAATTGTGACACGTTGTGGATTATTGTTAATAAGATTGTAACATAGAAAAAAAACAAGGGAAAGTTGTGCTTTTCTACTTGCATTGCATTGTTAGTTTCTTCCACTGACAATGGAAAAACGAAACGTTCTATTTATCTACTGCGCTTTTCTTACTCTTCAAAGTATTTGTAAGTTAAACTTATTTCAATTTATACTGTCACTTTTTTAACTAGCACGCCATAAGTTGATTCGCGATCAGCACGAAAAAATTGAAATCCCTCGTTTAAAGTTGAGGAAGAAATCTGTATGCATTCAAATTTTTGTAAATATCTTTCTTATCTCCATTGAAAAAAATATATCCTTTCAGCTAAGGTTTAAACAAGCAGAACTAAACAATACTTTAGTTTTTCTTCAAAGTCTTATTTTTCTTTCTTCTGTAATTATATTAAAAGATGTAACGAATCTTTTAAACTTAATCTTGACAAGATATTTAATGTTTACTTATTTATGATTAAAAAATACATGATCTGTTTCAATATCTTACTAAAATAATTTTACAAAATTGGGACTTTATTGAGAAAATTAGCTTTGTTATTATCACAAATCAACTTGTGCAATTATATCAATTGTTCTTTTATCTAATATTAAAATATTATTAATAGGTGGACTTCACAGAAGCTTGAAATATTATGAAACAATTCATAGTACTCACTTTCAACATAGGATTCTAAAACGAGGTATTCACCATAGTTATCACCCATATAACAGAATAAGTGAATTAGAATTTTATTCACATGGACGGTAAGATATTTAATTATTTCATCATTTATTATAAGAGATGTTCTCCATTTCATTAATGTTCTTTTAATATCTCTTTCAAATACAGCCATTTTCGATTAATTTTGACACCTAGAAGAGAAGTTATACATTCCAACTTCAAGGCATATGAGGTCAATGCAGATGGAAATGAGAAAACTGTACATTTAGGTATGGCATAATTTGGCAAAGCAGCAAATAAGCATATTTCATAGTATTATTCCATAGATCATGATAATTTTTACCACGGCCGAGTGTTTGGCGAAATTGAGTCTCATGCTCAGATGCATATTGATGATGGTATCATGACAGGTAGTATAACAATCTTGGATGAAACCTTTCATATCGAAGTGAGTATACCTCCAGCCAAATGATAGCTAAAAGTTTACGATATGATTACAAATTATCCGAACAAACAATGAGAAACAACGAATTAAAGTTTCAAAAAATTAATTCAAAAAAGTTTAAAACAATCGCATTTTATTATATAATTATGAATTACATAATTTTTTGGCTACTATCATATTCTTATCTCACGCTTGATTATCTCTGGACAGATTGTCTGTTATCTATAATCAAGAAGTGAATTTATGTTTTAGCCATCCTGGAGGCACCTTTCTCATTTAGATAATCAAACTATGATTATTTATAAATCTTCCGATGTCAAACTCAGTTGGGAGCATTATCAAAATGGAGAAGGTCATACACATGGGACTCCAAAAACCTGCGGTTATGTTAAAGAAGATATAAGTATGATTCTATTTATAAATATAGATAATATACAATTATTTTTATAAAGCAACATATAATAAATATTTTATGCTTTCTGTATTATTTCCAACATTATGATATTACTTTTTGCCGCAGATTATACTTTAAATGACAATTCTGAGGAGGATGATACCGAGACAGATAATAGCAGTAGTAGAGTGAAAAGGCAAACAGAGACTTACGAATATACACCGACAAAAACAAGATGTCCATTACTACTAGTCGCCGATTATCGGTTTTACCAAGAAATGGGTGCCAGCAGTACAAAAACTACAATTAATTATCTGGTAATCGTAACGGTACTCAATTATAATATATTTATTTATAATCATATACTAACTTATTCCACAGATAAGTTTGATTGATAGAGTACATAAGATTTACAATGATACTTTATGGCAAGAGCATCAAGAGGAGGATGGTTTCAAAGGAATGGGTTTTGTTATTAAGAAGATCGTCGTTCACAGTGAACCGACGCGAGTGAGAGGTGGTGAAACACATTACAATATGGTTCGCGAGAAATGGGATGTCCGTACATTGCTCGAGGTTATTACATGCAGCTTGAAGAAATAGCGTCTTTAAAATTAACTGCTTTATCAATTATCAATCAATTTTTTAATATAATTGGCTTGTTAAATTAACGTTGTTAAATACTAAAATTAATTGTCACTTCTCATGATATTATTGTATTAATACAGGTGTTCAGTCGAGAATATAGCCATAAAGATTTTTGCTTGGCTCACTTGTTTACTGATCTCAAATTTGAAGGTGGGATTCTCGGATTAGCCTATGTAGGGTCTCCTCGTAGAAATTCGGTGGGTGGTATCTGCACACCAGGTATATTAAAAGCATTTTGTATTCTTTGTGTGTTAGGTTATTCTAACATTATATAAAATATGTAATGATGTTTATGTGATACTGGATCTTATAATTGAACGAAAAATTGATATTCTGCAGAATATTTCAAAAATGGATATACATTATATCTAAACTCGGGACTAAGCTCCAGCAGAAATCATTACGGACAGAGAGTAATTACAAGAGAAGCCGATTTGGTTACAGCACACGAATTCGGTCATAATTGGGGTTCCGAGCATGATCCAGATATCTCAGTGAGTTATAATTCAAATATCTATATATTGTAAATTATTTCTGAGACTTAATCAAACTAGCATTAAATAATTCCTATAATAAACATAAGAATTCAAATAATAAAGAAAAAAGAATCATGAGTTGCAAAGGAAGTTTTTGTTAAAAACTTATAAAATATATACATATATTAAGTTTTAAAATGTGTTTTTATATCAATACCTTTATTTCACAAACTGTCAAGGTGGATCTTACTTAATGTATACCTACAGTGTTAGTGGCTATGATGTAAACAACAAGGTGGAGTATATGCTTGATTCATATTGTAGTTTTTATCACACAAATCATTTTAATTATTTTTTAAATAAAGAATCAATATTTCCCTAGAGATTTTCTCCATGTAGCTTGCGATCCATCAGGAAGGTCCTGCAAGCCAAATCTGGACGCTGTTTCTCAGAGCCGGAAGAATCATTCTGCGGTAATTTGAGAGTCGAGGGCGACGAGGAGTGCGACGCAGGTCTCTTAGGAACAGAAGACAATGATTCGTGTTGCGACAAAAACTGTAAGCTTCGAAGTAACCAAGGAGCAGTTTGCAGGTAAGCCATCTAAAATCATACCTACGTATCTATTTTTTCTTCTATTTTTTACACTTAAAATCCTTAGGCTATTTATATTCAACGTTGTTTAACGGTGCTCGTTTTGTTTCTTCCAACAGTGACAAAAACTCTCCTTGCTGCCAAGGTTGCGCGTATATGCCTGCGGGCGTAAAATGCCGTGATGCGCAATACGCTACTTGCGAACAGGAATCGCGCTGCACCGGAGCGTCTAGCGAATGCCCGAGATCTCCGCCCATGAAGGACGGCACTGGTTGTCTCGAACGTGGTCAATGTCGTCTAGGCAAATGCGTACCATACTGCGAAACTCAAAATTTACAAAGCTGCATGTGTGATACTAGTACGTATTTTACTTTAAGTACTGAATATCTACAAATATAAGTGGAAATATTTTGTTATGTTAATTCGTATCATTTTTTCATATTAGAAAGAGAAGAAACTCTTGTTTTGTAACTCATTTCTACAAATTTGCTGTTGATTTGCGAAAATGCTTAATTGTGCAATTAATAAAATCAATTACTATTTTTAATCAAGATTTTTAACCTTGTTTTATATTCTAAACTCTGGTTTCAAAAAAAGATTCGTATATTATTCTCTAAAGATATCTTTATGATTATTGAGAAAAAGTCAAAAGACTAAGTGTTTTTAGAATTGATTTTACATTACATACAATTAATTTTGTACTGAAAGATATAATTATTAATATTATCGTTATTAATAGTTGCTGACGCGTGTAAGAGATGCTGTAGAATGAATTTGAACGAGACGTGCTTCCCGATAGACCAGCAAGACATTTTACCTGATGGGACACCATGTATTCAAGGTTTTTGCAACAAAGTAAGATATATCATAATAATTAATTTGATAAAAGCAATTTCTGTTGTCTAATATATTACATGCATATACCTTTTTAGGGTGTTTGTGAGAAAACCATTCAGGATGTAGTGGAACGATTCTGGGATATTATCGAGGATATAAACATTAACAAAGTTATGCGCTTTTTGAAAGATAATATAGTGGGTGCTGTGATAATCATCACTGCCGTTATATGGATACCGGCGAGTTGCGTTATCAGTTACATTGATCATAGACGCGTGAAAGAGAGCGAAAAAAAGTGGCAGTGGAAACACACGGACGAGCTCATTCACCCGGACGAGCCGAGACAAGTGATATATGTTGGCGGTCAGCGCCAACAAAGGATACAGCATGTCATGCATCAATCGTGAATTTGCATTACATATTTCGACATCTAGTCAAACTTATATCAGGTGATATATATTTATGATATATCTCTGTTTGAAAAATGACAAAATATTGTAAATATCTTTATTTTCTATGTTATACATATGCATATGTAACTTCTACATAATTTCTGTAAGATTTTGAACGAATTTTATAGTTGAACGAACGAACGAAACATTCCTGTAGTCCAAAGAAATTAATAGTTCGTATTTAGGAATTAGATATATGAAGTTTTTTACTACTGTCATTGTTTTTTGATACTATGTATATCAAACATTAATACCACCAAAGTAGATTAACTTTAATCTTGATTTAACTTATTCTTCATCTTTTTCTAGTTCTAAGAATTAAAAAGGTGAAGAGTGAGTTGAATCAAGATTAAAATTAATTCGCATTGGTTGAAACGGGTATAAATATCTCTCTTTTTCAAGTATTACTTACCTTTCTATCTTTAAGGTTGGCATTTGCTACTTAATTATTAGAATATGACTGCCATGTTACATTAATATATTACAGTATTTTAATCAGCAAAGATCAAGAATGTGAAAAGATTTGCTTTATAATTCCAAATATATTGTACAATTACTTTAACAATACTTTAATGTTTAATTGTAAGTATATGTGAAAACAGATATAAATCATGTTAATACAATAATATTAAAAAAAAAATTCTAATATTTAGAATACTGAAAAAAATGTCTAAAGGAAAAATTATTTTGAAATTCCCGCCATAAATTTTCCTACTATCTTGTATGGACTTTTGGAAATGCATTCTACATACACTGGTTATCTGTTAAATAATAATTATATAAATTAAAGTAAAACTCATATTGATCTTTATCATTATTTTTTTGCATCTTCCTAGACGCAAGATTATGTGTTTGAGATTAGCTTTGGCACGTGTTCTCGCTTCTTTCACGTGTACTGACAAGTATTTCAAGTGTGCTGATTGGTTCATGAATAGAGACTTTCCGCTGCCTGAAGATTTTTCTTCCCGACAGCTAATCCGCGTGTTCGGAATCTCCAATCACACGTTTACGCGTGCGCATATAAATTCCTTGGAAGTTGGTTCCCTCGCACACTGGTTACTCAATACTCACGTTACACATTATTAGCTTGAGTTTAATTAACTATATGTAAGGTTTAAAAAGTTATTTGACCAACTTTTGTAACGTGATCTGGCCGTATTGTCTCCTTATGGAACCTGTGAAGGCAGGCCAATAAATAATAATAATAATAAGAAGACACGTTAGCTTAGCGACAAGGTTGTGTCGAGTTGCATCCGCTCCTCGTACGAGCCAAGAGGATTCCTCCAGCCGGTACGGAACGTCGTGTCAAAGATGACCATCAAAAGCTATTCTTTCGAAGGGGTGTTTGCTTCCTCAAAGTTGAAAGTTCCGGAGACCATCAATTTCGTCGAGGAGGAAGAGAAAACGTTATCAATATGGAAATTTGTCGATGTATATCGTCAATGCATGAGTCTATCCGCTTTGTATGACCGGCCAAAGTATTCGTTCTATGACGGGCCACCTTTCGCTACCGGTCTTCCGCATTATGGTCACATCCTCGCAGGCACCATAAAGGACATCGTGACGAGGTACGCGTATCAAAGCGGCTACTCCGTGGAGCGTCGATTTGGTTGGGACTGCCACGGCCTTCCTGTAGAGAATGAGATTGACAAGAAACTGGGCATCAAGGGGCCTGATGATGTCGCCAAGATGGGCATCAAGGCGTACAACGAAGAGTGCCGTAAAATCGTGATGAAATATTCCAAGGAATGGCAGGAGATTGTCGGCCGGATGGGACGGTGGATCGACTTTAAAAATGACTACAAGACCATGTATCCATGGTATATGGAGTCTATCTGGTGGGTGTTCAAGCAGCTATACCACAAGGGTCTCGTTTACGAAGGTATCAAGGTAATGCCCTATTCTACTGCCTGTAACACTCCATTGTCCAACTTCGAGGCAGGTCAGAATTACAAGGACGTAGTGGATCCATCGGTCGTTGTAGCCTTTTCCCTGCTGGACGAGCCAGGGGTGTCTCTACTGGCCTGGACCACCACTCCTTGGACGCTACCTAGTAATTTGGCACTATGTGTCAATCCTACTTTTGAATACGTCAAGGTAAAAAATGAGAAGACTGGTGACATTTATATTATGTTGGAGGCTCAATTGCAAATCCTTAAGGGTCCTTATACCATAATAGACAGGATAAAGGGCATAGACCTGAAAGGAAAGGCATATGAACCACTGTTTCCATATTTTTTGCATTATAAAGAGAAAGGTGCTTTCAGAGTCCTGAATGACACTTACGTCACAGCAGAGACCGGAACTGGCATCGTCCATCAAGCTCCGTATTTCGGAGAGGATGATTTCCGATGTTGCCTGGAAGCCGGCATTATACGCAAGGACCAAGAGATTATATGCCCCGTGGATAGTTGCGGTTGCTTCACGGAGCCGGTTCACGACTTCCTCGGCAAGTACGTCAAGGACGCGGACAAAGAAATAATAAAGTATTTACAGCTTAAGAAGAAGCTGATTGTCAACAGCACGGTGAAGCATAGCTATCCGTTCTGCTGGAGAACAGATACGCCGCTTATTTACAAAGCAGTGCCATCTTGGTTCCTCAAGGTGGAGGAGATCAAGGACAAATTGCTGGTGGCAAATAGCGAGACCTACTGGGTGCCGGATTTCGTGAAGGAGAAACGTTTACTGGGGCAATCCCATACCGCTTTGGATCTCCGAGGACAGGGAGGAGATCGTGTGCGTGGGCAGCATGGAGGAGTTGGAGAGATTGACTGGCGCAAAAGTGAAGGACATCCATCGCGAGAACATCGATCATCTGACAATACCGTCGAAACGTGCGGGACAGCCGCCGTTGCGTCGTATACCTGAGGTCTTCGACTGCTGGTTCGAGTCCGGTTCCATGCCGTACGCGCAGGTCCACTATCCGTTCAATCAAGATCGCAAGGAATTCGACGAGATCTTCCCGGCAGATTTCGTCGCAGAGGGTATCGACCAGACGCGTGGCTGGTTCTACACGCTTCTGGTGATATCCACCGCGCTGTTTGGCAAGGCACCGTATAAAAACCTCGTGGCCAACGGTCTAGTACTTGCGTCCGATGGTCAAAAGATGTCGAAGCGTAAGAAAAATTATCCCGATCCCATGGAAGTGGTCAACAAATACGGAGCGGATGCTCTGCGTCTTTATCTGATCAATTCGCCAGTCGTGAGAGCCGAGAACCTTAAGTTCAAGGAGGAGGGTGTCCGGGACATCATCAAGGACGTCTTCTTGCCGTGGTACAACGCGTTCCGTTTCTTAATGCAGAACATTGACCAGTATCAGGAATCAGGGATCAGATTTGTAATCGCCGAAAATCAAGAATTCTGTTCCAACAATATAATGGACAAATGGATTATGTCCATCACTCAATCGCTTTTAATCTTTGTGAAGAGAGAGATGGAAGAGTATAAACTGTACACCGTGGTGCCCTATCTAATAAAGTACATTGACAATCTCACAAATTGGTATGTGAGAATGAATAGAAAACGTATCAAAGGTGAAGACGGTTTGGAAGATTGCGATAATGCATTGACGACTCTATTTTTAGCAATTTACACGATGGTGCAGACCTATGCGCCATTCACGCCATTCTTGACGGAATTCATGTTTCAACGGTTATACCAATGGATCGTCAGCTCGTCGAATGATAGACCTAAGCATTCTTTGAATTATAAAGCGTTTAATTCAATTGAACATACTACAAAGGCATTCAAGTACCAGCCGAGTAATTGGTCTAATCATGAGTCTCATAGTCCTGAGCCCACGAATGAGACAGAGGAGGACATGGAGGAGATTTACAAAGAAACTTGCGAGGATTATAAAGATTTTAAGCACAGTGTGCACTTCAAACTGATACCACATCCGCGACATCATCTGATTAACAAAGACATAGAGAAGGCTGTGTCGCACATGCAGTCAGTCATTCAATTGGGTCGCATTGTACGCGATAGAAAGGTCATTCCCACGAAATATCCCTTGCCGGAAATCGTGGTGATCCATCGAGATGACAAAGTACTAAGGGACATTGTCTCACTAAAGTCGTACATACTCGAAGAACTCAACATCAAGAAGTTAACTGTTACTACTGACAAGAAGAAGTATGGCGTGACCCTGAGAGCAGAGCCAGATCATAAGACACTTGGTGCTCGTTTGAAGGGCGAGTTCAAACAGATGATTCAAGCCATTAAAGAGTTGTCCGACGAACAGCTGCAACAGTTTGTCTCCACGAAGGAGATCGTAGTGCAGGGCCACAAGCTCGAGGAGCAAGATTTGCGTCTGATGTTCAGCTTCACCGGTCCGGCCGCCGAGCAACTGTCGAAGCAGTACGAGGCCCACAGCGAAGGAAGCATACTGATCCTTCTGGACATTACTGCAGACGAGGCGATGCACAACGAGGGAATAGCACGTGAGGTGATCAATCGAGTGCAGAAGCTGCGGAAGAAAGCACGGCTCGTGCCCTCCGACGAAGCCATCGCGTATTACGAAATTAAAGACGCAAACAGCAACTTGGCGAAGGTCATCGTCAGTCACAAGGAGTTCATCGAGAACGTGACCAAGACTCCGCAGAGAGACATGACGGAATTGCCGCGCAATAACGATGTCATTATTGAGGAGATGCAGAAGATCAAAGACATGGATATGAGGCTCGTGTTGGTCAGAACATCGGCCAATCGTACGTCAACACAGGAAGACAGCACGATGTCATCGGAAGCGCAATCCTCTGTAAGCTACGTCAACGTAAAACTTTTGAATATGCAACCACGATACGGTGCGTCCTCGAAGGATAAGATTTACTTGTATAATTCGCAACTTGGACCTCTCACGTACAAACGTTTGAAACAGGAAATCGATTTGGTATTTGGTACTTATGGCTGTTCATACGATATGTATCTTAATACTAAGAAAATTACCAGAACGCTGGATGATACGCCAGTGGAGGAAGACATGTTTAATAAACAATCGTTAGAAGTAGTGAGATCAACAGACAAATTTTTTTTCAATGTATGAAAAGCGATTTCCATGGACTTGCGATTTTTTCAATGTAAGGTTGAAAGAAAACCGGAGCAACCTAGCAAACCATTATTATATCTTGTAATTTTGTTATTTCTTTGTAACTTTCTAAAAAGATAACATGTTTGTTGAGATCAAACGAAAGATGTGTAGTTAGTTAATTCTTTTTTTTTTCATTTGTTGATGAAAGTATTTACTGCGAGGCATATTAGGAAGCGATATAATTTAATAATATATTTATTTGGTATTTAATACATAAACTATTAATACGCCAGAGTGTCTTATTACGTGATTTTAAATAAATATATTTTTCATGAAAGTGTTCTGCTATTTTGTACATTAAAGAATAAAAAGAATTAATTGTATTTTTAATTTCAATTTTTTCCCACAATTTTGTATCGTCGTACTCATATTTTATGCACTGTTGGATAATATAAAAAATGATTTATGATTACTATATAGAAAGAAATAATAGGTAATATAATAACGTAGATTTGTCTTAACAGAATATGCAAAATTTTACACATATTTATCACTAAGAAACGAGGACAGCTATACTGTATGATAAATAAGTATCAAATAAATAAACATTTATTGGCATTATTTAAAACAATCGTGTATGTGTATATATAATTAATTTAACTTTAACAAATTATAGTACACTAATCAGAGACCACAGTATATAACTCTATCACGCCTTCGTCCTTTTGTTATGCCATAAGCACTTTCGGTGAAACTTATATTTATATTTTTATGCATGTCCTGAAGTTTATCCAACGTGAATGTCCGTTTTAGTGATTTAGCTTTTTTTTTTAGAAAAGATTGATTTTATTGGTATTCTATGCATTATTTCTCATGTACAAATAAATATAACGTAAGTAGATGACTTCCAGGTTGCTATATGTCTTACAAGTCGCGGATAAATTTTCTTTCTCCTTTATTAGTACAAAATTCATTCAAATTAAATCTGTTTATGCTAATGGTAACTGGAATTCACGCATTATTTAGACATATTTCCGTAATACTTAACATGTTGATCGCCACGTGATACAAATTTATTTATATATGATTAGCATTTCCTGTTTTTTTAGAGCATCGAATATTCAAATATAAATAACAAAGAAGTCTCGTTGTTGAATGATGTTAATAGTAAAAAATGAATTATAAAAAGAAAACATGTTTGACTTCTTGAGTTTTTTTTGTGAAATTAACTAATTTCATATAATTCTGAATGACGTGACAGTCAACGCGTTAAAAATACGTAAAACAATTCTATATTAAATTCGGCGGATCAAAACGTTCACAAATCACACAGCACCAACAATACAATGTACTAGAAAATCGAAGAAAGTAATAATTACCAAGTAATTACCTGTAGAAAATATTTTTATATAATTCTCTCAGTTTATAATTTAGAGTTAGTTACAATAAAAATTAGAGAAATAAATCATTAATTAATTTTATTTTTTTACTGAATGGAAAGTGATACCTTTCAGAATTTTATATATATACATATATATATACATATATATCTTACGAAGAAAAGTGTTTCACAGAAACTTATTTTATCGTACAGAGTATTTCCTAATTACTTTATAACGTAAACACCACAAAGCGATATTTCTTACGAAAATATATATATCCATGATCTGATTCACATGAAGCTTAAAAAAAAACGAAAGGTACAAGGAATAAAGATAAAAATAATTACGCTTGAATGAATGTCGAAGTATAATAGTTCTTAAACGTTGAAGTCAATTTTAAAAATCAGAGTTACTTTTTCTAAGAAAGCAATGTCATCATATATTCTCCAGAGCAAGATGAGAGTTCATGAGAGGGGAAAAAGTAGCAACTTTATTTATTATTTCGGAATTATTGCAACATAACATTCGAGCATGATTATTTTGGATTCTTATTAGTTTATTTAATTATTTTAAATTTAACGGAGGACAACTTATATACTTTATATAGACATATAATCTATAACGTATATATTATAATTTTTAATATATGTTAAGTGACAGATACGTCATCTACTATCATGCATCATAAAGAAAATTTCTTTTGAAATCTTCTGCAAGAAACGCTACACTAGAATTTATGCGACACAACTTAACGCACCTCTTGTATATAACGAATTTAATTATAATTCAACAGAGAAACGTAGATCAATAGAAATATCGCAATCAGTGTTTTACATCTTCGAGAGTAACACCAAGAAAGATGGAAATCACAAAACTATAGTGAGCTCGTTATCATCAACGATAAACTTGATCTCGAGAATGTTACGTTAAAAGCACCTCGACGACGAAGATTACCGTTTGATTGATTCCATTAAATTCATAGTATACGTGGTACGCGTTACAATGTATATTATATCGATTTGTATTTAAGGTGCTTTTTTTATTAAAATTACAACTTAGAAATAATCGTATTAGAAGGGATCGTAATAGTCGTCGTCATCATCGTCATCATATCATTCCACGTTCCGAATGTTATCTTGATCAGAAAAGAAATTACTAAAGAGAGATACCGTGAAGATTGCGGTAAGCGCGTAGAGCGCGAGCGTGGTTGTCGCGGTGAAAAGTTGAGCGTAATGATACCGCGAATACCACGCGAGACCTAGGATGATCGTTAGAAGGCTTACAAGGAGCCGGCTCAAGTCCCACTCGTTGTGTACCGAACTTATCCCCGCATCGGTGGGCAGATCCGAGAACGGCTGGGAATTGAAATAAATAGACGATGAATTATCTAACGTAGACGACGGTACGGTAGCTGGTCGCGGTTGATGCACCCAACAATGAACCACGCAATCGTTGAACAAGCCGCACTGCTCGAGAGTCTGAGTGTCAGGTTGCAGTACGCGTCCGTTGAATACTAATCGTACCGCTTTACGTGCTTCCAATTCTATTTGAAAATGCCTCCTGCAAAATGAAAAAGGTTTATTTTATTTTGCTGTACTAGAAGAATTGAACTGCACTAGAACTTTCCTTTTCGCTTTTACCACATATTAAACATTTACCTATTTCACAATATAAAATAGAAGTAATGGCTGTGACGGTCAAAGCTAGATCTTTAATCACAATCTGAATTATATATATGCAAGTACATATATATACTATATATGTACTTGCATATATATTATATTTGTAGTTATTTAAACCGCGCCGAATTATTTTCCAGACTATATAAACGCAATTAAACTACTGTAGTAATATCACGAATTAAATTAATAAGCAATATTAATAATTTTATGCTCAATCAGGCATCCTATTAAGATGTTAATATGCTGAAAAACGGCAAATAAATTAATTTTTTTTACAGGTTTTTACATTACTCCTATTTCATATTGTCGAATTTTCAAATGTACGGTCCAGTAAAATTCTTATTGTTTACCTATTTCACTTTAAATATAAAAATATGTATACTAATTCAACTATAAGAAAACAGACCTAAAGACAAGTTATAACAAACATGGAATAAGAAACAATGTTATTAAAGGCTTGGATTATCTTTTGTGAGAACGTAACAAAAACTGTACTTTACTGACACGATAAAAATTAGGGCTCAGACAAAAAGATTCGAACATGTTGAATATTCGATCTATTCGAATAGTTTGAAGTTTATAAAAATGAGCATCAAATTCGAATATTTCGAACAGTTCGAGCTTAAGGGGATGCTAAAGTTGTTCTACTTTACCATCATTTTCATTCGGTGAAATATCTCCGAATTGAATTGACGGATTGCAAAGTTGTTTTTACAGAATTAAAGTACGCACAAACAGGACCTCA